CCACCAAGTAGGAGGCACTGCAATGGAAGTTAGGAGCTCTGAAGAGAAGCAGCTACTTCCAGAGAAGCTCCAGAAACAGAGAGAGAGGAGAGAGAATAACATTATCTCCCCTCCTATCAGCTGGCAAGGGAATCTGGGAAAGGTAGGTAGTTTGCAGGAGTCCAGCCACTGAAATATAGAGCAGAGCATGCAAGAGTCTCTCCTTGCTGGAGGAGTTGAGAGCAAACAGGAAAATGACCAACATAGGAGGCAGTTTTGCAATATCTGCCAAGATGCAAATATCCTTTAACCAATTCCACTTAGAATAGTTTATCTTACTGATATATTGATTCATGTATGAAATAACTTATGGATAAGGTTACTTACTGGCAGCATTATTTGCAATAGTAAAGGATTGGGAAATTCTGACAAGACTTATCAAGATAAAGAGAACACACACACACACACATACACACCAAAAAAGGAGGAGTTTATCTTCAGATTTTGCAGAAATTAAGCAGATAGCAACAATATATTATGAAAAATTTTATGCTGAGGAATTAGAAAACTTAGATTTTATACACACACACACACACACACACAGAGCAAAGTAACTTACCAAAATTGACATTGACATAAGAAGAACTAGAAAAGCTGAGTAATCATTAAACAAATTAAATCTGTTTTTCAATCATCACAGATATAAAACACCAGGTTCAAATTCAGAGGTGACTTCTAAACTGTCAAAGAACAGATAATGTCATTCTTATCAAATACTTCCCAAAAGTAAAAAATGGAAATGCTACCCAATTAATTTAGGAGGTTAGGATATTTTGATACTAAAACAAAACAAGAGCAAAACAATAATACCATTATAAGATTATTACATTGTAAATTGGTATAATATTAACTCAAGGAAAGTTATGATAGGTAAAGAATCAATATTGTAATTCCTAGAGCAACCATTGAAAATAATTCAAAGCTTGTAACTAGTAAGTAAGTCAATAGAGGAGATACAGTGCACTACTAAAAACAAAACAAACAAAAAACACTTCATTGAAACAAAAAAAGCTCAGGAAAATTCCATTGGGCTTTTTTTTAGAAATTGTCAAGGTGATGTTAAAATTTATATAAAAATGAAAAGGAACCAGAATAGCCAAAACTATTTTGAGAATGAACAACAAAGTTGGAGGATTTTCACTACCTGATTTTAAGACTTGTTATAAAGTTACAGTAGTCGAGGTAATGTGATATTGGCTTAAGGATAGACAAATAGATCAGTGGAACAGAATAGAGATTCTAAAAAGAGACTCACCGACATATGGTTAATTGATTTTCAACAAAGTTTCCAAAGTAATTGTGTGTGAGAAAAAAATAAGCCTTTTTAGCAAATGGTGCTGAACTGCGTCTCTACATAAACCAAAAACCAAACTCACTGCCATTGAGTCAGTTCTGACTCATAGTGACCCCTCCTTGGGTTTCCGAGGTGGATTTGGCTGGAGGGTTTGAATTGCCAGCCTTCTGGTTAGCAGTCAAATACTTTAGGCACTATACCACCAAAGCTCCCACATATCTACATAGGAAAAAAAAAATCTCAACCCCTCCCTCACATCATATACAAAAATTAATTCAAGTTAGATCATAGACCTAAATAAGCTAAAACTTAAAAGCTTGTAGAGTGAAACATAGGGAGAATATCTTCATGGTCTAGGTGTAGACAAATTTTTCTTAGACTACATCATGTACAAATCATAAAAGAAAACATGTAATCAATATTAGAAACTTCTCATCTTCAAAAGACACTGTTTGGGAATTGAAAAGTTAAGCCACAAACTGGGGAGAAAATTAGTAAGACATATATCTGATGAATGACTTGTACCCAGAGTATAAAAGAACTGCAATTCAATATAAAAAGACAAATAACCCGATGGAAGGTACATAAAAGACTTGAACAGAAAAAAGAAAGATATGTAAGTGACCAGTAAGCACTTGAAAAGACGCTCAGTATCATTAGGATTAAAAAAAAAAAAAAAAAAAAAACTACTCAAAACCAAAGCCACTGTTGTAGACTTGGTAAAACTACAAAGAGATACAACTTTGCACCCACTAGAATGGTTCAAATGAAAAAGACTGACAATACCAAACATCGGTGAGCATGTGGAGTAGATGAAACTCTCAAGCATTGCTGTGGGGGTGTAAACTGTACAACCTCTTTGGAAAACTGTTTGGCATTTTCTTATAAAACCCCAGTTCCATTCCTAGGTATTACTCAAGAGAAATGACAGCATGTTTCCACAAAAAGACTTGTACAAGAATATTCATAGCCGCCTGATTTATAATACTCCAAAACTTGAGTCAATCCAAAGTCCATGAACAGGTGAATGGATAAATGTTACATTCATACAGTGGAAAACTACTGGAGGGGCAGGGGTGGCAAAATATTGGTAAATATAGTATGGTTGAATCTCTAAACCACTGTGTTGAGCAAAAGAAACCATTAAAAAAAAAAAAAACATACTGTATGATTCCATTTATATGAAGTTATAGAACAGCAAAACTAATTGTGATAGATATCACAACAGTGATTGCCCCCAGGGTGGGGGAGATAAAATGAAGACACAAAGCAGCTTTCTAAGACAATGGGAAATCCTAAACCATTATTGGAGTGGTGGTTATATGAGTGTATATATTTGTCAAAACTAACTAAACTGTACACGTAAAACCTGCGTATTTTATTGTCTGTAAATATACCTCAATAGGAGCTCTGGTGGCACAGAGGTTAAGAGCATTCAGCTGCTAACCAAAAGGTCGACAGTTCGAACTCACCAGCTTTTCACAAGAGTCTGCTTCCATAAAGATTTATAGCCTTGGAAACCCTATGGGGCAGTTCTACTCTGTCCCATGGGGTTGCTATATGAGAATCTATTCAAAGGAAGGTTGGGCAATCTACTTCTGTAGTGATACCGCCTCAGAAACACAAGGGGGGGTCACTATGAGGTGGATCCGACTCCATGGCAGTGAGTTTGGCTTTTTTTTGGTTAGCAGTGGGTTATGGGTTTAATACCTCAATGAAGTAATAATAAATGGCACCATTAAGAGGATGAAAAGACAAGCCACAAACTCAGCGAAGATATTTACTTACAACACATACATCTGACAAAAGACTGTACTCTAGAAATCAATAAGAAAAATACAACCCACTAGAAAAATGGACAAAAGACACGAATAGGATTTTCACAGATGAGGAAAAACAAATGTATGGGAACATATGAAAAGATGCCTCATTTGTAATCAGGGAAATGCAAATTAAGACCCCATGAGATACTAGTTCATATTTATCAGATTGGCAAAACTTAAAAGGCTGGGCAACATCAAGGAATGGTGAGAACATAAAGTAAAAGGAATGTTCATCTCACTGTTGATGAGAGTGTAATTCTGTATAATCACTTTTGGTCTGAGCTTCTCTTCCACTCCTAGGTATGTAATTTAGATCAGGAGACATGTCCAAGAATGTTTATAACAAAATTACAGTAGCAAAAAAGATAAAACCTAAATGTCCATATATAAAGCATAGTTTGGGGTATAATCATACAGTGGAATATAGACAGAAATAAAAATGAATTGCAGCTCTACATACCAATATTTAAAAAGAAATTTAATGTTGAGTAGAAGGTGCAAGACAGAGGAATACAGACCATATAAGATGCAAAAACAGGATGCTGTTTAGGAATACACAGACAGGTAGTAAAAATTAAAAAGAAAAGCAAGGAAATGATTAACACAAGAGTGAAGACCATGTTATTTCTTGGATGAATGGATCTGGGATGAGCACCCAGGGGCTCTTTAAGATGCTGATAATTTTCTGTCATATATATATTTTCTCTCCATATATATTTTATATGCTTTTCCTACATATATTTCATAATTTTAAAAATAGGTGTAGTACATATACTAAGCGAAAGAAGCCAGTCTTCTGTATATCTGGCTGTCTGCTTTCCATTTACATGAAATGTCCAGAATGGGAAAATCTCCAGAGACAGGAAGTAGATCAGTGGTTGCCTAGGACGGACAAAGCGAGAGTGAAGTAGGGAGTGATGCTAAAGGGTATGAGTTTCTCCTTGGAGTGATGAAGTGTTCTAAACTTAATTGTGAAGTTTGCACAAGCTGGTGAAGATACTGAAAATATTACATTGCGGACTTTAAATGAGTGAATTGCATGGTCTGTGAGTTAAGTCTCAATAAAGTTGTTATTAAAAAAACAAGTAGATAAGTGGGAAGGGCTCTCAGTGGGTGATAAGAAGGTGAAGCTGACAAAGATGAGTCTTCCTCTATGGCAGTGGTTCTCCAACTTTGGCATGTATCCCAATCACATGGAGGGCTTGTTAAACCACAATGTGCTGGGCTCCATCCTCAGATTTTCTGATTCTGTAGGTCTGGGCTGGAACCAGGAATTTGTGTTTCTAACAACTTCCCAGATGATGTTGATTTCAGGGGCCCAAGAACTGTACTTTGAGAACTCTATAATGCTCGCCAATGAGTAGGTTCCAATAAACGTATATTGGATGAATGGATGGATGGATGCTTGCTTGGGTGCTTGAGAGAGTGATAGGTGGAAGTTGAAATGATGAATGGATAGATAAATGTATTAATGGATGGATAGAGGGTAGATGGGTGGCTAGTAGATAAGTGAATGGCAGCTGGATAGATGGATTGATGGATGGTGTATAGATGGATGAGGGATGGTTCAGAGCAGTAGGGAAGATGATGGGGTTGAGGAACTCGTAGTGTAGAATGTAGTGTAGAGAAGGATTTGAAGTCAAGACCTAGTTTCAACTCTTGTGTTTTCTACCTATTAACTGTTTTGGTAGGTGAATTCTCTCAGAAGTTCATTTTCCTCATCTGTGAAATATGAGTTAATAATACCTATGAATGTCACATGAACTAATATCCTTAAAAGGGCCTGAGACAGAGCCTGGCATGCAAAGGATGTTCTCTATTTTTCAGTTAGATCTGGCTATTACCATCATATATCACTGGGCTGTACTGTGTGGTTGAGACTAGACGCTTGTAATTCAGGTCCATCTTGTTTCCATAATGGCCGATGCTGACTTCAAATTGGATCAGATCCTTAAAGTCAGGCATCATAGTACAGGAGAGGAAGATGACACACAGTCCATACTTTTGGCGGTTCTGTTGTTTCTAAAACAATAAACCCCATATCACCAATCATAAACCAAGAATGAACAAGCCAAGGAATGAACAAGACAGGCAGGGAGATGAGGATGAGGAGCCCAATGTCCTTCAAAAGCCATCTGTGCTGCTCTTCAGAGTGAGCTATACATTGACACCCCCCTCTCAATATTCTGGCTTGGCTCCCTTGTGCTTGGCCGGTCAAGAGCAGTTCCTCACAGGACCTCCATTACCCGGCCCACTCCACCCAGGCAGCTTGGTTCCTTCCCTTCTTGAAATCAGGCATGAGTGTCTCCTCCCTGGTTAGACTAGGCTCTGAGTTGGGCCACTCTACCCTCACCCCACTTAGAGGAGCCCCTTCCCTCCTTTTTGCCTTAACCCCTTCCTCACATGAGACCAGGTATGGGCAGGGTTGTGTGGTTGAAGTACTCACCCCTTCTGTGACTGCTTTTCATGGCTCTTCTCCTCAAGTTCCTTTCCTTCCCCAGAGAAGCTGAACCTTTCTACTTCTTGCCCCAACTGCCCACTCTCCACCAAATTTGTCTGTTCCCACCATCCCTACCATCTCCTTGGTACTCTATCCATCATGTTACCACCACCACCATTCCATGTTTCTGATGCCGATTTCTGCTAACCACCTTTATTCCCCCAGTCTGTTCACTATTTCAGGTGTCCTCTGTCTTAAAAAATAATCCTCCTTTTCCCTTCCAAGCCTATTTACCTACTACCTGATATATCTCCATTAGTGTTTCAAGAATTGCCTCTATGAATTGTCTCCAACTTCTCCCTCCCATGTATGGAAGCCTGGCTTCTCTCCTGACCCAAGGTTACTCCACTGCCATCAAGTCAATTCCAACTCATAGTGACCCCCATTGGGTTTCTAAGGAAGTAAATCTTTACAGAATTAGGTTGCCCTATCTTCCTTCTGGGAGCTCTGGTAGCATAGTGGCTAAAGCACTTGAGTGCTCCTCAGAAGGAAGATGGGGCAATCTACTTCCGTAGTGATACTGCCTCGGAAACCCAAGGAGGGGTCGCTATGAGTCGGGTCCGACTCGATGGCATATAACAACAACAACAACATCTTCCTTCTAAGGAGTGGTTGGTGGGTTTGAACTGACAACCTTCTGGTTAGCAGTCAGATGCCTTAGGCACTGTACCACCAGAGCCCCTTTACTCAAGGCTACCAGTATCTTCCTAATAACCAGCAGACACTTCACCCTTTCTCTCTGCCACATTCAAGACTGTAGATCACTCCTTTCTGCAACTATCCTGTCCTGAGGCTTCCTCAGTACTCCACTCCTCAGAAGATTCCTTCTCAGCCTCCTCTGCAAACCCCTCCTTCTCCTCTAGACTGTGGTTGATAGGCTCACTCTGCTCCTTTCACTCCACCTACTTTCCTTGGGAAATTTCTTCCACACTTTGAGTTTGAATTCCAGTGTGCTGACCACACAACCAGATCCAGTGTCTAGCAGTCTCTGAAGGTGGTCTACATGGATGTTTCACGTGTTAAAGTCAAAGGTGGGATTCATCATCTCATCCTCAGAGAGCTCATCTTGATGGATGCTATCCCTGACCACCTTGTCACCCAAGCCAGAAAATGGGTGTCAGCTTAAGGGATTTGACCTCACTTCTTACGTCCTTTTACTTACTAGCTCTGACTATTCTTTTTCTAAAGGCTCTCTGCACTGTTACTGTTCTTAGGTGCTGTCGAGTCAGCTCCAGCTCATGGTGACTCTAGGTACAACAGAATGAAAGAAAACAGTGCCTACACCAGCCTCACAATCCTTGCTATGCTTGAGCTCATTGTTGCAGCCACTGTGTCAACCCATCTCTGTGTCAATCCATCTCTGGATTATTTCTTCTTAAATAGATTATACACTTCTTAAACCAAACCTTGTCTTTACCGAGTCCTGTAAACACCTAGGGTCAGGCACAGCAGGGTCTTAATAAATGCTCAGGCAATTGATAATCATCCTTCCACATCCAAGAGTGTGTTCAGGTGTGGCCAAGGCATCAGAAACCTTGTGGCCAAGGTTGTGTGGAGTCAGAAACTGAGGCCTACAGCAGATTTGGGACAAGCAGAGGGAATCTTTTTTTTTTTCTTCTGAGATACTAATTTCTCATGGTTACCTCTGTCCTGGTCACTTCATGGGAGAGATCCTTTATCTTAAAGTCTTGATGGGCTTTTATTTGAGTGGTTAACTCCAGGAAGACTCGGCCTCGATAAGCTAACCCATCCTTAACAGCGTCAGGACTCTACTAGGGCAACAAAGAGGAAAGCTGAAAAAACAGTATGAAGCAAAAAGAGCAGGCATATCTCCCGTGAACCCTCTGCCCGCCTATGGCTGGCTTGGAAAAGATCTAATTGAATCACAACCCCAGGAAGGAATTCCAGATACCACTGTGCTAGGAAATTTGTGGCCCTGATCCCCCTTCTGCATCCTCAGCTTCAATTACTCCCCTGTCCTACCTGCCAGTTTACTTGAAGTGCCCTGTTCCCCATTATACATTTGGAGGGGATTGTAATACCTACTGAACATGTTTTCACAGTCTGCCCAGTCAGGGTCTACCTACCCTCCTTGGCAGTGCTGATTGGTCCAAGGGAAGCACACAAGGCCTAAGCAGGCCTATTAGAATGCTGCCCTGGGCTTCTCAATTACAGGCTGCAGTGACCATGTTCCCTGTATGGAGGCCTGACTGCAGTAGGGAAGAATGAGACCAAGGCATAACATCAGCAAAGATGAGCGACAGAGCGAGAGTGAGAGAACCTCCTAATGGCATTGAGGTCCTGGTTCCTGCAGCTCTTTCTCACTCAAAATATTTCTCAGCCTCATTCCTTAATTAAGCCAGTTTCATTTGAGTTTCTGGCATTTATAACCAGAGTCTGGAACAGTCCAGTGCTTTTCTACATTTATCTCTTCCTTTGTCTTAAATTTCCTTTGGATCTGCTGAAAAACTTACCTGAGATCTCATCTCAGGAGCCCCTCCCTCAGTGAAGGTCTAGAGCACTCCAGCTGTTCCTTCCTTATGCCACACACATGTTGACTATCTATCATGGTTATTTACGTATCCTCTACTAGAACCCAAGTGGAAAGAAAACAAGTCTGAGTCCCTCTGAGCATTTACTAGGCCCCATTGCCTTACATGTAGTCGGTATAACGTCTACTGTTCCCTAGAGCTGAAATGAGAAGCTTACAGTGCCTTCGTCCTGGATCCTGAAAGGGGCCTTTTTACCACCATGGAGTATCAGGAAGCTGGGGCCGAAGCAGGGTAGGAAGCCAGAGTACACTCCTGGAAGAAGATAGGATGAAAAGGGGTGGGGGCTTGGGGAGAGAAGCACAGCAGGCAGGGGTGGGATTCTGCTTGCCTTCCATCTCTGCACCAGTGGATGAGATCTGGTTGAGGGACAGGCTGACAGTACCAATCTCATCCTGGCAATCCTTCCTTGTGCTGGGAAGAAACATACTCTGCAGGCTGAGCCCTGACATGGCTCTGGTTCCCTCCACCCTTGCATGCACTTTAGCCTCAGCTTATTTGCTCACCAGTCCAAGACTCTCAACTTGATGTAGCTGGAGAGGCAGGGTAGCTGCAAAGGGAAGGCAAGAACAGAAAGGGGTGCATGCTTGGGCCTTCTGGTCTCTGGAAAGATTTTGAGCACAATCAAATTGGACCTGGGTTTGGGTTCAAGGCCTGGCTCAGTTACAAGTGAGTCATTGAATTATAGAGAAAGATGGAGTTGCCATGAGCTAATAGACCTTCAGAATCCCTGGTTAGGGCAAACAGTTAACGTGTTCAGCTGCTGTTTTAGTTATCTAGTGTTGCTATAACAGAAATAGTACAAATATGGCTTTTACAAACAAAAATTTATTTTCTTACAGTTTGTTGTTGTTATGTACCATTGAGTCAGATCCAACTCATAGCGACCCCTCCTTGGGTTTCTGAGATAGTATCACTACGGAAGTAGATTGCCCAACAACCTTCCTTACAGTTTAGGAGGCTAGAAGACTGAAGTCAGAGCATTGGCCCTAGGTGAAGTCTTTCTCTCTCTGTCCTTGTCTCTTCAGCTTTTGCTTCCTGATTCCTTGGAGATGTCCATGTGCCTTGGCATCTATCTTACCCCATCTCTCCTCTGCTTGCTTGTTTAATCTCTTTTATATGTCAAAAGAGATCAACTCAAGCTACACCCTACACTCACTAATATAAAAAAGACAATCTTTTCCCAAGTGAGATTATAACCACAAGCATAGAAGTTAGGATTCACATCCTAATTTTTTGGGACATGATTCAATCCATGACAGCTGCTAACTGGAAGGTTGGAAGTTCAAGTCCACCTAGGGGAACCTCAGAAGAAATGCCTGCAATCGACTGAAAAATCAGCCACTGAAAACCCTGGGGAGCATAGTTCTACTCTGACACATGTAAGGTTGCCATGAGTCAAAGTCAATTCAGTGGCAACTAGTTTAGTGACAATCAGACTTGTATCCAAATAACAAGAGTCTTGAAGACTGTGCAAAAAGGCCTTGATGGTGATATCATCTGATCTCTTCTAACTTCATGAAGGGGAAGGAGGATCAAAATCAACAGCAACAGCCTAAGGCTGATTCCTATGAGAATCATGCTGCCACCCTCCAACACTTTTTGCCAATTCTTACACCAAACATTCCTCCCACTGCACTCCCTAATTCTCTGCTGGGTTCGATAATTCATTGTAATGGCCACACAGAAATCACAGACAATACTCACTATCATGGGGTTTATTAGGAAAGCAAAAGGTTACAATTCAGGTTCAGAAACAACTGAAGGGTATAGTTCTTAAATCAGGACAGCTTCTTCTCAGCTGTGCCACAAACATGCTTCTCCATGAGCTTTGGCCGCTGCTCTGGTCAGGTCAGCATTATAAGGCTCCATGGCCAAGAAGCCTGGCGATCTGTTCCATGCTGATCTCTTGACTCTGCTGTGTCTGTTGCCGCATCTCTCTGCCATCTCAGCACAGAAATCTCAGGTCCAAGGATGCATTACACTCCTGGCTTTTTTTCTATCTCGATGGTAGTGAGATCCCTCCCACTTCTGGGATGGTTCATTTTAAGCCTACAAAGATGGCAAAACTTACGAATCTCCACAAGAGGTTTCCATATACCTTATTTTCATGGTCCCACCCTCACAAGGGTGTCATGTACCTTATTTACATTATTAGCAAGCTATCCAATCCCCTTGGTGGGCCATAAGCACCTCATATTTGCATAGTCCAACCCAGTCGTCTGGTGGGAGTCACAAAGACCATGGGTAGAAGAAACATATTAAATAACTTACTGTACCAAACTGTGTTCTGTGGGAAATGGGTGAGGATTCAAGGGTGTTTGGACAGGAAAGGAGAGGAGCATCTTCAAATGTTGTAAGGCCTCTCCTAAGATCAAATAGAAGTTGGCCTATTTGCTGCTGCTGGTTCTGAGCCTGAAGGAGGCTGAATATAAGAGAGGAATTACTAGTGCTCTGAGCATTTACAAGCATTAAAGAATCTGAGGGGAGGGTCCCTCGGCTATCCTCACAGACACCAACAGGTAGGAGGGAGTTTGGCACAGGTAGGGTATGGGCTAAGAAACCCTCTAAGGTTTCTTCCTACTTTAAGAATCTATAAAGTCATTCAAAGAGGTGAGCAGTATGAGGAACTGTTAAAAAATTAGGATTCAACAGGAATCACACTGGAGAACCTACTAGGAAAAATAGAGAGGGGTCCAAAGGACGGAGGAAGGGAGCCCATGAGCTAATTAAAAGTGTTAATAAAAATGTAAGGTTTAAGAGAGCTAAACACTCTCTTTTGTTGTTGTTGTTGTTTGCCGTCGAGTCGGCCCCGACTCATAGCAACCCCTCCTTGGGTTTCCGAGGCAGTATCGCTACGGAAGTAGGATGGCCCAACCTTCCTTCCGAGGAGTGGCTGGTGGGTTTGAACTGCCAGCCTTCTGGTTATCAGTCAAGTGCCTTAGACACTATGCTACCAGATTGTCACACAAAGTTCTATGTACTTGTATTTGTGAGAGAACTCAAGTTGTCTCTCAGAACATTTTTAGAAACATCTAACATCTTAGAAACCTGGTGTAGCATCAAAAAGCAATTAAGGCTATATCAGGGCTTCTAACTAACAGGAGATAGGTGATTGAGAAGAACTAAAAGATTATAAAATCAGGCTCTAGAACCCCACAATGAGCAACATCCTGAGACTACTTAGTGAGGAACAAACAGCTCTGCTCTACATATAGCCCAGTATGTAACTATGTTCTTAGTAGTGCCTCTAGGCCTTCAACAAAGAGCTATATTATATTCAGGGCACTATGCCTAGGAGATAAGAAAATACGTAATACAATTTAGGATGAATCTTTGTTGTCGTTAGGTGCCATCAAGTCATCTCTGACTCATAGCGACCCTATGCACAACAGAACGAAATACTTCCTGGTCCTGTGCCAGACCCATGATCCCCGCTATACCTGAGCCCATTGTTGCAACTACAGTGTCAAACCATCTCATTGAGGGCCTTCCTCTTTTTTGTTGACCCTCCACTTTACCAAGTATGATATCCTTCTCCAGATAACGGTCCCTTCTCATGACATGATGGAAGTAGGTGAGACAAAGTCTGGCCATTCTCACTTCCACAGAGCATTCTGGCTGCACTTCCTCCAGGACAGATATGTCAGTTCTAGCAGTCCATGGTACATACCTTCAGCATTCTTCGCCAACACCACAATTCAAAAGCATCAACTCTTCTTTGGTCTTCCTTATTCATTGTCCAGCTCTCATATGCATATGAAGCAATTGAGAGTACCGTGGCTTGGGTTAGGCACATCTTAGTCTTCAAGGAGACATCTTTGCTCTTTAGCACTTTAAAGAGGTCTTTTGCAGCAGATTTGCCCAATCAATGTGTCATCTGATGTCTTAGCTGCTGCTTCCATTGGTGTTGATTGTAGAACCAAGTAATATGAAGTTTTTGACAACTTTGATCTTTTCTCCATTTATCATGATGCTGCTTATTGTCCCAGTTGTGAGGATTTTTGTTTTCTTTATATTGAGGTATAATCCATACTGCAGACTGTGGTCTTCAATCTTTGTCAGTAAGTGCTTCAAGTCATCCTCACTTTCAGCAAGCTAGTTGTGTTGTCAGCATATCGCAGGTTGTTAATTAGTCTGCCTCCCAACCTGATGCCACATTCTTCTTCATATAATCCACCTTCTCTGATTATTTGCTCAGCATATGGATTGAATAAGCACGGTGAAAGGATACAACCCTGACGCACTCCCTTCCCAATTTTAAACCATGCAGTATCCCCTTGTTCTGTTCGAATGACAGCTTCCTGGTCTATGTACAGGTTCCTCATGAGCACAATTAAGTGTTCTGGAATTCCCATTCTTCTCGATGTTATGCATAATTTGTTATGACCCACACAATTGAATGATTTTGCATAGTCAATAAAACACAAGTAGACATCTTTCTAGTATGATGAATCTTTGAAGTGTTTTGTTTGCTTTGTTTTTAAATGTGGTGAAAGGACACTGTCATGGATTGAATTGTGCCCCCTCAAAACATGTGTCAACTTGACTAGGCCATGATTCTCAGGGGTTTGGCAATTATGTGATGATGTAATTTGGCAGTTCAATAATGATGTAATTATTCCCCATGATGTGATCTGATGTGATCAGTCAATCAATTGTAAGGGAATTAGGATGGGATACGCCATCCTTACTCAAGTCACAGCCCTGATCCTGAAATAAGGGCAGTTTCTGAGGGTGTGGTTGCATCACCTTTGTTTGTGTGTGTGTGTGTGTGTGATTTAAAAAATGTATATAAATATACACATATATTATTTTGTTTTAGGTGAAATTTTACACACCAAATTAGGTTCCCATGTAACGATTTTTATAGTTCCATATAATTGGTTACAATTTTCATAATTTGTCATCATTCTCATTATTTCCATTCTGTTTGTTCTGTTTCCATTGATCTAGCTTTCCTGCCCCTCCTTGCCTTCTCATCTTTGCTTTTGGGTCAATGTTGACTGTTTGGTCTCATATAGTTGATTGTTTAAGGAGGATATAACTCACAGGTGATATTGTTCACTTTATAAGCCAATCTACTGTTTGGCTTAAAGATGACCTTGCGAAATAGCTTCAGTGCCAAGTTCAAAGTATATTTTAGGGCATTACTCTTGGGGGTTCCTCTAGTCTCTATTGATACAGTAGGTCTATCCTTCCTTATAAATTTGAATTTTGTTCTACATTTTGCTCCCATTTTATCTGGGACCTTCTAATATGTCCTTGGTCAGAACAGTCAATAATTGTAGCCAGGCACCTTCTGGTCTCAGGTTAGAAAAGGCCATGGTTCATGTGGACTATTAGTCTTCTGGGCTAGTTTCTTCTTGGAGTCTTTGGTTTCCTTCATTCTCTTTTGCTCCAGATGCATATAGACAAATAATTGTATCTTAGACAGCTGCTTCTGCATCACCTTTTGTCTTACAAGACATCAAAGGATAGAGAAGATAGTGGAGAAAAAGGGACCTGATTACCACCAAGAAAGAAGAGCCAAGAGAGTGGAGCATATCCTTTGGACCTGGGCCCTGTGCTGAAAACCTTCTAGACCCAGGGGAGGATTGATGCCAAGAGACATGGAAACTTCCAAGGGACAACATCAAGCCAACAGATGTTGAAAGGAGACAAAGACCTTCCCCAAGGGCCAACAGAGACACACTTCCCCTAGAGCTGGCACCCTGAACTTGGACTTCTAGGCTCCTAAACTGTGAAAGAATAAATTTCTGTTTGTTAAAGCCATCCACTTGTGGTATTTCTTTTAGAGCAGCACTAGATAACTAAGACAGGCATTTTAAGTTCTCTGGAAAGTTCTACCCAGCTCCTTTCTTCATTAACAACCCCAATCTAGCTGCCCATCAAGTGCATTCCAACTCATGGTGACCATGTTTTAGAATAGAACTGCACACCATATGGTTTCCAATAGCTTATAGAAATAAATCACTAGGCTTTTTTTCCACAGCACTGGTGAGTAGATACAAACCACCAAGCTTTCGGTCAGCAGTCAACTGTAAACGATTTGTGCCACTCAAAGTCTTCCTTTCTTAATACTGGATAAATAAGGCAAGAATTTCCTTGTATGTAAGGTATGTTCTAGATTTCTTCACGCTCCCTCTCAGGTGGAGCACCTCCTTGTTGTGCTTCTTGGCCCCCATCTCCCGTTTGTACTCACACACAAGCACTCGAACACTGCCTTCCCATGTGATGGACAGTGGGGAAGGTGGGGTTGTGTTAGTCTTACTCCTGGCTTCTAGAAGCAGTGATACCTGAATTGGGAAGGTCAGGATCTGGTTCCAGATAGGGTTCTCGGTTTGGGTCTGCACATCGGTCTTGAGCTGGGAACATCCCAAAGCAGTGTCAGTGTCAGCTTGACTCCTCTCTGCACCAGCCTCTTGGCCTGCTCCCACCCCTTCTTTTCCCGCTCACTGATGGATGCCATGTGCGGCACAGAGCTTATCATGCTAATCCTGGTCTAAAGACACCTTTAACAATTTCTTATCAGCTACAACTTCAGTTATTTGTGTTCATTCCTCAGTTTTTGCCAGATTAAGATTACTTACTTGTTGTTTTTGTTGTTGTTGTTATGTGCCATGGAGTCAGACCTGACTCCTAGTGACCCCTCCCTGGGTTTCCGAGGCAGTATCACTACAGAAGTAGATTGCCCAGCCTACCTTCTGAGATTACTTAATATTTTCCCTTAAATCAATTTGCAATTGACTTAATTTTAAAATTGATATAGGGTTACTAACCATATGAGTGCATACAAATAGATTGTGTCAAATAAACTCTAACATCCCAACAGAAAAATGGGCAAAAACATAGCTGATAGTAGCAGCACACAATGGCATATCTCCTTTAATAGCATCAATTGATCTAATTTTTAATCCTAACCTTATTCTAAACAATAATATCTTTGAAATTAAGTTAGTTAGACTGTTTACAATTTTTAATACAATGCAAAAAAAAAAAAAAAGTTTTTTTTAAAGTGTATGCCGTATACCACCCAAAGTCATCTTGCTCCAGGGGCACAGAAACCACTCTTTGGGAAATATTCAGTATGCTGATTTTAAAATATGCCCACAAATTCTTTGGTGGTACTCTCTTCAAAAGATGGAGATTAATCCCTCTCCTTTTGAGTATGGGCTCATTTCTAACAAAATATGGTAGAAATGATGGTTTATGCATTTTGACACCAATCCATTTCACTATAATCTAGTGTTCCCAAAATTTGAACATTGGACCCTTTTTTGGTGCATATCTTCAGCACATTTCATAAAATGGTACTCTGTATTCGTAGAGTTTCATAGAATGTTAGCAACATTCTTGCCTAGAACCTTCTATTTACACATTAAGAGATCCAAAAGGGGACAGTGACCGACTCAATGTTGTTTGTTTGATTGTTGGATATTGTTTCATTCACTCATTCATTCATTCATACATTCCTATATTTAGTTTTTAGTGAATACCTTCTTCACGCAAGGTGCTGGGCTACAAGGTGAATAAGGTGTGACCGTCACCTCTGCAGAATTCCTGGTCCAGTGGGGCCATACATACTGCTCATTAGTGGAAGAGCTAAGATACAATTCCTGGTGTCCTGCCCACCATCTCTTCCTCCACTCTATTTAATATTTTCTAGGAGTCAATTTCTCTAAGCATTAGATCCTTTGTACACTTACCTTTTTCCCACTTAGTTCTACCTCCAACATAGAATTCCCTGGTTGGTGTTTGTCTATGAAAAAGAAGTTAAAAGACTTCTGAGAGAGCAGCATTCTTTCAGGAGGAGTAAGTGGAGAGGCAACAGGACAACTTAACACCTTCCCCCCATGGTTTAGCTTGGTGTCCTTGGGAAGACCTGTTTTGAAATACCACTCTGCCCCTTCAGTGTGTCATGCACAAAATGGCAGTAGAGGTCAGGAGAGGGGCTGTCATATGGAACTTTGGGACTGCATCTGGACATCAAAGACAGGTCAAGGACATGAGATCCACTTAAAACAATTCTTGGTAGATTGCAGTCTCACCCTGTTCCCCACCCCAAATCTTAGGTCAGTTTCAAAATAGAACCTCAGGGTCACTCCCTCCCGCCATCCTGACTGTAACTGAAATGAAGGTCCTCTGCGCAGTAGATGAAGAACTGTAATTGAGCCATGTTGATTGGGACTGCCGTTGACTTGAAGAGCTTAGGACTGGTGACACCAGCCCTATTGGTCAGTGTTAGATCTACCTGGAGAGATCAGCAAGATAGTGTCAGAATCATGAAGAGATCATGGCCAAGGCCACCAGACTTTCCTTCCTCCACCTCCCACTTGGGGCAGTGGACAGAGGGTAGGATGTGAAGATCAAAAGCCACTTTGAGAGCCCAGGGATGCTTCAAGAAAGGCAGCATCATAGGGAATGTTACTGAGGTGGCAGTGGGGAAGCCTTACCATGGCCTGGTCTCCCACACCAAGGACACAGATGGTGACTTTCAGGTAGCCTCTCACACCAATGGTGGGGCTATCTGGCTGGCAGAGGCCTAACCACTCTCTTAAGAGTGTATGACCTGGGGAAGCAGAGAGGGCCATAGGAGACCAATGTCAAGTCTCCAGTCTCTCTTCCCTGGAATTAGTGATTGTTTTTTGGGGAGAGGGGTATGGAAACCTGTCTCATTTATTCTGGTTCCCGGCAATTGGCAAGTGGTAGTGTCTTCTTGAGATTCTGGAGGAATGTGGGAGTCACCCCTAACCATTAGGCAATGATAGTCCATTCACAAGGCTGCCAGCTACTGTTTTTAGGAAGTTAGGACCTCTCTTTCCCACCCTAGAGACCTACAGTTGTTACTGACCTGGTCTGGAACAAGATACTGGAGAGGTAAACATTTCCTCAAACCCTAAGTCCTAACCTCCACTTGGTATGTTCTGGTCAGGTTACAGTGGACATCTCTACTCAATTTCAACTCCTCCAACCTTGGCTTAAAAAATAGAAATCAAACCCCAGGTTGCAATAAGAGATTAGCACTTGATCCAACTGCTATTACTACAAAGTAGGGTAAAATACCATAAAGTACAGTAAAATGCTATCAAGTATAGAAAATAATTCATACCCTCTAAAACTCTCCCTCATGTGGTGAAGATATAGGGATTTGGAGGCACTTTGACACCTGGCCTGGTTTTTCTCAGAAGACACACATATTTACAACTGTTACTTACCTGGAGAATGGTAGACAAACCCAATGTCTGTCTGAAAAGAAAAGAGTGACATGAGGATTAGTGAGGGCCTCTAGTCAAGATTTGTGATATACTAACATCATGACAATGCTAGTTACCAGTTCATGAGCACTTGTTCTGCATTAACTCCTTTTTTCTTAATTGAATGTAATTTTATCTTTATTTAAATTTTGATTGTGACATTTATTTTATCAGCTACAATGCAAACAATCATTGCTTTTTCAATATTTGTTCCAGAATGAAGAAAATGTATACCACACCTTCATTTTGATTTTTTTTATTTAAAGTATTTGCTCCTAATATATTTGGATAATTATATTTTGCTTTATTTTTCAAATTAATGACCCTTATTTTTAAAGATAAATTGGGCACACTTACATTTAATAATTATAATAGATGTTTGTGGAATTAATACATAAATAAATTTTCACATAGTTCACATCCAATTTTTTCAAATTTAAATATGCATATGTATAATGAGAGATAAATGTAATCTTATTTTCTTAGTTGACTTGGTGATACACAATATGAGTTAAATTGGACTTTTATTGGGCCTGGTTGAGTGGCTGGGCAGCTGGTGGTAATTATTCCCCATGATGAGACTGGCAATCAACTCCATGGTGGGATCTACCACAAGCAGCTGAGTAGCTGCCTTTGGGTATGTGGTCTGCTTCCTTTATATAAGGAGAAGCTTTGAGAATGGTCTCTAGCCTATCGCTTGGACCCTGCATGTAGCTATGTCATTGCTCAGCAGCCTGTTACACTCTGCTGACCTTGGGAGTTTCAATGAACTTAAGTTAATGGCCTGCCGTGTGGTTTGGTAATATTGGTACTGTGCCTTTTACTTGTCAACCTTGGGGCTTCTCAGCCTCAGTAGCCAGCAGCTGTCTGAGTGAAGAAAAGCCTCTACCTCCAGTGAGCTGGGAGCAGGAGGCAGAGCTGGACCCCTAGGTTGAGAGGCTTTCACCCAGCCCCTAGAGCCTGGCACTTTGAACTTGGACTTAAAGCCTCCAAATTGTAAGAATAAACTCCTGTTTGTTAAGGCCATCCCATTTGTGGTATATATTTTTGTCAGAGCAGCACTAGGTAACTAGAACCATCAGCTTGATAGTGAGATATTTCCTCCTCAGCATTAGTAAGAAATGAACTAGAAGAAGATACCAAACAAACTAAATTCACTATCACCAAGTCAATTCCAACTCCTAGTGACCCCCATTGTGTTTCCAAGGCTATAAATCTTTATGCAAGCAGACTGCCTCATCTTTCTTCTGTGGTGCTGGTGGTAGGTCTGAACCACTGACCTTTTGGTTAGCAGCTAAATGCCTTAAACACTACACCACCAGAGTTCCTTAGAAGAGGATAGAGTCCCATATTAAATTTAAACAAAGAAAAAAACATCCAGTTTTAATAATAGACTAGTGGTTATGTCATTTAACAAGATGAATCTAATAAACATAGGTAAATGTTTACAAACACAAGGTTTTCACAACCTTACAGCACAACCCTATGCCACAATCACTCACAGTAACTCAACTACCTTCACATTTAGCAATTATGTCATACAAATGAATGTGTTGATGACAAAAAAATTACAAAGTGAATCCAAGGCCACTTAATCTTAAGAGTCACAACAACAAAGAAACCCTAGGAATGAAGGTCAAAGCAAGAGGTTGCAACTGGCCAGATATACCATTAGCCTGATTCTTATATAAGCTAAGGTGAAGCTAAGTCAAAATTTGCTGCAACAAATAAAGTAAGTATCTCATCTGAATTATTAGGAAAGAAAGGAAAACAACAGATACTATCCAGCACCAATTTATGACCAGAAAATTAAAATATTTCCTGAACAATCAAAAGGAAAACAAATTATTCAGTGTTTACTTAAGAATCACATTTAGACAATATATTAAGGGTTCTGTAGGAAAAACTAAGGAGCTCTGGTGGCCCAGTGCCTAAAGCATTTGCCTGCTAACCAGAAAGTTGGCAGTTCAAACACACCAGCAGCTCCACGGAAGGAAGATGGGGCATTCTACTCCCATAAAGATTTTGTTATTGTT